ACTAGCACAGTTCCTTCACCTCCTAGTGACGATCTATGGTACTACTGCTCTTTAGAGGTAAACACGCAAATCATCATGACGGTGCACGCAACATTCAGAAAGATTGCGGAGAGTCAGGCGAAGAAGGCAGCCTTTAGTGAATTTACTTGACAGAGTCTGATTTTGGGAAGTGGATACGACATACAATAGTCTAATTAGGGTTTACAGACCCAGGGAACAACGGGAGTTGAGGTTATTCACACTGCTAAGCAGAATCATCACGTCTGAAATTTCATGATTACAGAGACTGACTGTAAGGAGATGACATGGTCTGCTAATGCACTCTTTGTTATCTGAGAGCCCTACTGATGAACTAGTACCATGTTAGCATGGTTTGGTTGTGTCTGGTGCGGTCCGGTTCAGTTGTGCTTGCCATTTACACTCAACAGTTATCTCGGTTACAGTGCTCGGACCAATCTCGTTTCAGTTTCAGAAGGCTAGAGTAAATGGGGCTATAGAAAATATAACGGGAAAAGACGAATTATTGCAAACTAGGTGTGAAAGAAATAATTACCATTAGATTGTGATATATTGTGCCTGATTTGTTCATAACATGCGCTTGAAATACATTTATTTTAGTATTAGCGTTTTATGACCATCCCCTAGAGGGCGACACTGTTCATCCTTAGGTGGAAACTCACTGGTATTTGCAAGAGGAGTAATGCCAGAGCGGAGGGAGGGATGCTTAAGCAGAAATACATGCACTGATTGAAAGTCAAGTTAAGGCTTGTTTACATTGTTCAGTATTGAGGTGGATACAGGATGCATGTTATGTTGGCTGTTTGTAAATATAAACACTCAATTAACTCCTTATCACCTGAATAATGGCCCCTATAGCTGTAGTAGAGGGAAAAAATTATTCAACTATTCACCCTAGTTAAATAAATGGAGATCGATGGATTTCACTCAGTCGGCACTTTATTTTCTTATCTTTGCAAAGAGAGACCAGTTCATCATACAGTCCTTATGGGACAGTAATCAGCCCTGTTCTGACTAGACAGAGTTTATCCCTCTTACTTATGTTGATGAAAAAACTGTGAAGGTTGTGTCAGAGTTAAAACAAATTACAAGTATGATTTGTCTAAAACCACCCCTATGTCAGACATTTTTTCAGCCTTGCAGGTGAAACAAACTGAGTAAAAAAATTTTTCCCTGGATAAATAGCATAACTAAATATATGAGTAAAGAGTGATCTAAATTTCCGACTGCATCATGGAGTAGCGTCAACATCTCTGCTGTGTTTAAAAGCTGGGGATGTGATGATAAAATGAGTCAATTACAGCAAAACATTTAACAAGAAAGAAGAGGACATGCTAACAACAAGCACAGTAGTCTTGGAAGGCTTTTGTGTTTTAATACACAGTATGGAGTCGAGTTTTAAAATCCCCCTTAGCGCCAGCTAGCTGTTTGCCATAGCAACTGCTAATGGGAGTCCTTAATAAAAATTACAACCACAACAGCCCGTTCAAAAGCCCTAGTAACAATCTTTCCATCAGACTGTTGGGTTGAACTAAAAAAAGTGAGCTATCTTACAGTTAGAGTCCACTTAAGTAAAACTTGGTGTCAAATAGTCTGATACAGTGTCAGAGTGACCTAGTTATTTTTATTCAGTAACCTTTTTAATCCTATAAAATAAGTTTAATAATGTGTAATAAAAAGCTTTTTTTCTTGCTTATGCAATAATTATTTAATACAACTTGCAGAATAAATAATTAACTTTTTTAAATTAAAGCAATAAAAAAAATACATGTAGCCCTTTAGCTTAAACCGATCCGTGCCGAGTTCGGACCGAGCTTGGATCAGTTAACCGTGCCGAGCTTGGTTCCTTATGTTTCATTACAATTGTGATATTTTGTATCTTGCAGAGAGTCAGGTTGAAGAAGCGCGATAAGAGCCTCAGTCTCGACGTTATCCAAGGTCACACTACACTCGTTGTTTACAGTTCCTCTTCTGTTTTACGGCGGGTGGTTGGCAAGCAGCTAACTGATGTGCATTACCGCCAACTACTGGAACCTGACTGTAAGGAGATGACGCGGTCTGTACATGCGCTCTTTGATATCAGACAACCGAGCCACAACCAAGCCCTACTGTTGAACTAGTACTAGATTTAGCGCGTTTTGGTTGAGTCTTGCACGGCCCACTTCCATTTACACTCAACAGTTACCTGGGTAACTGTGCTCGGATCACTCTCAACAAAGTTTCAAAAGGATAGTATAAATCGGGCTACTGTTGATATAAAACAGAGGAACACTAAACTACATCTAATGCTAGTTGCAGAATCTTTATCTGAAAACACAATTTCTTTGTAATTACATTAACATTATCATATAATATTTTTTTTTATCTTGTTAGTAATAGATAACTAATGTCAGTGACTAAATGTTAGCTAACATTGAATTATTTAGATATCTGTTTTATTTTAATCCACACACTTAAGAAGTTAATTCTTGGTCTGCCTTAAGTGTTGGACAATATTGTTAGGATGTGCTCACTGTGGACTTACCTGCGTTTAATAAAGACGCAGGTTATTATTTTGTCAGTGATGGTGGTAACTTATCTTAGGCCCCATTTGTGTCTCACTATTGCCGTTTCTATATATGTGTACTCATGTGCTCGTGAAACGTCATCATCCTCAGCCATAGTACTGCTACAATTGAGAACGGACAAAGTCCCTGGATGTTGTACTTGCCCTCCCTATTTACCCAGCATGCATCAAAGCACACTTATCCGTTCTTCAGATTGACAGCTGTCCCAGTATGCATGGCGGCTGAAGCAGCTTACAGAGCTCAGAGTATTAAGTTAAAGGTTATCTTTTCTGATGCTGTTGTTCAATAAAAGTTTGTTTTAAGATCATTTGAGACGAGAGCATTATACTTTTAAGCGTCACTATATGGCCCATTTACCGATTTAATGCGTAGTTAGAAAAGAAATTCAGAAGTTGAGAGGACCGCGGCAACCAGCGGACCTCCGAGGCGAGCAGCAGCCTTGGCTAACCGCAGCCCGTCTGCAGCAGCCCTCTCTCAGCATAGCCATGTGTGAAGGACCGCTGGCTCTGATGGCGAGTTTTTAGTTTTAATTGGCAAAATGTTCATTTGATTTGTGTTTATATGACTTTGTTCATTATTATTCACCCCAATAAATTAAAAAGTAAGTATTTATTATTATCTAGAGATTATTAATAACAGGAGGTGAAATGCAGCTGCACACGAGCCAGTCATGTGGAGACGTCACCAGTACCCTTCTGTTCCAATTAATTCATATTTATGCTCCTTGCTCCCATTCTCCCAGAATCCAGATTTTCCTGTGCTCTTCTCAAGAACACACTCGGATATAACACGGGTCCGTACTCGCGTTCTTGTGAATTGAAAAATTGGCATACGTCTTGTAATTCTCTTCTTTTTTGGGGGCGAGGGATAAAATGGAACATAACTTCTGGATAAGGAGTAAGCTAATGCTAATTGTTACTTTATTTTTGAAAAGGGCTAGTTTTGACATTACCTCCTCAATTGTATCATTGTATCTCATGAGGAACAGTTGGGCGACTGTAATGCAATACCACATGTCAGTACCCGTGTGTGTGGCCATGTTTTGTTACCTGGTGGAGGCAATTTCACAGGAATGTGCTACATTTTGGGTACTCATAGGTACTTGTGGGGACCAACGACTGGTCCCATGAGGACAGGTTCTCTTCTTTAAATGGGGGTCAGCTTTAGGACTAAGGTATGAATTGAGTATGGGTTAAAGGTATAGTGGAGGATCTCCGCAAATGTTTGAAAAGACCAGCCCTCTCCACTTTTAAAACCTGCACATGCACAACCCTGTACCCGCTCCAGAGAGGGAATGCCTATTAAACGCTTGCGAGAGCATACACCAGCCAGGTTCTCCTCGTGCACGCTCTGTCTAAAGGTTGCTGTTTGCATCGCTCATACAAGCTAACTTTCCAAAAGAAGATTTTAAAATTTTCCCACTATGTCAGATGCGCCACTGGTAAGAGAAAATGCAGACAAGCACGTAAACATACAGCCTTATGTAAACATATCACTAGAATGATTGACAATTAGGAGGACCACTTATTTTGATGATCCACCCGGAAAAAGAACATCTTCCACTATACCTTTAAGTTTAGGGTTAGGCCATAGAAATTAGTTTACAAATGAATGGAAGTAAATGAAAAGTTCTACAAGTAAAGTGTGCGCGTGTGAGCGATCTCTCTTAAGCAAGAGAGATCTCATCAGCTAATCCTGCTGTTGGCTCAGTTATCAACTACAAAGTGTTTGGATGTTGCCCCTTGTATGGTCATTGATACAGATAGTGGTTGGTTGTTTACAACATGATCAGTCGAATAAAGTCAATTTCTTGTTTGATTAAAAACAAACTAAAACAAGTTGTTTCTGATTCTGATTTTCTTCTCGTCATTTTAGCTCATGACTGCTTTCATACCCTAACAGTAACACCCAGCATCATACTGCTGAGGTGTTTTTCTCATCCCCGTCGGAGGCTTTGGTTTCTCACAATAAGCCGTCCCCTTAGGTTGCTGTCATTTCACACTGCGTTGTCATTTCTTCTTCGGCTATTTTATACCTCTCTGTGTTCTCTGTGTTTGTTCATTTTTCTGCATTTTTTTTTTATCCCTATATTTGTGTTTTATACTTTAATCTGCTCTGACCTATATTTTAATGTGTCCCATCTTCTCTGATAGTACTTCCTTTGGCTCCTTTTGACCTGCCTTTTCTCCCCACAATCCTTTTCTGTTCATATCTGCTGGCACTAATTACTAATTAACTTTCATAAGGCCCTGTAGCCCATTTCAAGTCCCAAAGGACAACAGCTTCATGCAGTATTTAATCACTTCCTGTGCAGAAATGCAGAAGCTACAATCCATGTTTGTATCTATCTGTTAAAGATTTAAAAAGGACGAGGAAATTAGATTTATTTTGTGTTTTTTTTTTCTTTACCCACAGGAGGAGCCATCATGACGTCAGAAATGCAGGAAATCGCCATCACAGAGGAAAAGCCTCTGCTTACGGGTCAGGGTGATGCTGCCAAGGTCGGTTTCTACCACATATAATAGACACACATTATACATTGTGTTATTACTTTCTTATATAAGCGTGCATGGGGAACTTATTTAGTCAGAAGTAAGACTTAATGAGAAAGTCTAACTTGTGTGTGACCCAGATCAGTGTTTGCACTCTTAAATCTCAGCAAATCCTTTATCAGACAGCTTGTATTCCAGGCAGAAATGTGAAAAGTCTTTGGGTTGGTGCAGAAGGTGAGGGTTTGTGTGCAGCTTTCAGAGCAGAGCTTCAGCGTTGATGTCAAACCCTGAGGGAGCGAAAGCAGACCCTGCTCTGCTCTGCTTTGTAACAACAGCTGTTAACGACACCTTGTGGTCAAATAAAGAACTGCACCAGTCAACAGCCTAGTAAAACATTGATCATCTTTCTTTGATTATTGAGGAGAAAAGCCGATATGATCTTGATCAAAATAAAAGCCAAGGAAGAGATGGTTTGTCTTTCCTGCTAGATAATCATAAAGGGGCATTAAACAAAGATTTAAAATGCAAAAAGGGAGTTAAACTGTTATATAATGGGGTAGATGGACCCAGTATTCAGGCGACAAAAAGACAATGACAAAAATAAAAGATGATTGATGATGTGAGTCACTTACCTGGTTTAACAGTTCAGTCCATCCACTCTAAGGAAGGCAGGATCCAGCCGAGCCCCGATGCTGCAACCCAAGTGAGCAGGCAGGGATCAGATGCAGTTCAGGGAAACAGTTCAGAACCGAACACTTCTAAGATCCAGGAATCCGTAACCCGACCCAGGGTTCTGATCCGAACAGGAACTGACAGATCCAGGGTTTCAGGAATCCATGGATTGCCCAGGCAGGTTCAGAGTTCCATGAGCCCAGCAACGAGCTCAGAGAAACACTCAGATGGAGAAAGGCGGGCCCAGTGGTTGATAGCAACAGAGAGAAGACATGGTACCAGGAAAACCTGCAGAACTTTAAACTGGCTTCATCTAGGAGCCACGATCACGGGACTTAAAACTGGCTTCCCCCGCACGCCGAACCAAACATGACCAGAACGGGCTCAGCGGAGAAGAGCCGGGAAACATCAGGAGAAAGCAAACACTAAAACCCTGTCGACACGCACGCCACCAGGACTCAGGACATGAACCATGGACTTAACTAATGAAACAGAAAACACTGCGATCATGACATACACAAGAGACAAAATCTAAAATAGACATTGAAAAAATATTCTTAAAATTGTTGATTAACAGGTGACCTTCATGTTATTTTCTTCCAGGTATTACAACTATTATGACCCCATGAAGGCAAAAATCTTCTAATCTTAGCAAATAACCAGGTTGTTAAGGTCCCTCATAAGGATACAGAAGCAATCTTTAAAACAGTAAGGTGAACATTTAGGATGACCTTAAATCACCACACTTTCCCTCAGTCACTCCTGCCACAGTGGACACAAACCCTGGTTGGTCACAAGAGTCTAAAGCCCGTCATCTTAAAGGATGCACGGCCTTATTTGAAAGAAAACAGAAGCACACAGAACTGAAATCACTTGTCTCCCTTTTATTGGTAGATTTTCCTTTTGCTGGTAAAGGTGACAGAAAATAACAGATAATATTAATGTGACTCTGAATACATTTACATTATCTAACTTAAGCTTTTTTTTTAAGTAGTTTTGTTTTCTGATTGTTTGTCTTTCATCTTTTTGAGTTTATTTCATTGAGCTACTAGTTTTTTTTTAATCACTGTCTTTTTATTGAGTATTCCTTTTATACATACAGTTTGTAAATACAAAAAATATATATATAATTATCCAACAAGATATAAAAACAAATACAGCAAAAACAATCCCTACAAAAAAAAAAAAAAAAAAAAAATCCCATTCAGCCCACCCAGGTCACTACCAAGAGGTCAGCGCACTCCTGTACTTTCTTATCCCTTACTGAGACAGAACACATTTTATTGAATTTTTTATTTATTTTTTTATTTTTTTTATAAATAATCCGGAGCATTATTTTGCGTTTTGGAATGAGTCAAGAAAGGGCCCCCATATCTCCTCAAATTTACCAGTTGAATTTTGGATAGAACATTTAATTCTTTCCAGTTTCAGACATGACATGAGGTCACATAACCACTGTTTGTGAGTTGGAGGAGCCGCACCCTTCCACCTGGTTAGAACTGTGCGCCTCGCTAACAGTGAGCAGAATGCCAGTGCCTGCCGCTTAGAGGCCGGTAAAGGTGACCCCTCACCACTAAAACCAAACAGACCCAGAAGAGGGCCAGGTGTTATCACCACTCCCGCCAACCCGGACATTGTATGAAAAACATCTGTCCAGAAATGACCAAGAGCGGGGCAGGACCAGTACATATGGACCAGTGTGGCCACAGCAGTTTTGCATTTATCGCAGTAAGGGGTGACTCCTGGTAGGGCTGCAACTAACGATTATTTTAAAAATCGATGAATCGGCCGATTATTTTATCGATTAATCGATGAATCGGACAAAAAATATTTTTATTTTATTTAATATATATATATATATATATATATATATATATTATATTTTATAATATTAATATTTTTTTCCAAAATAAACATTTTAGACAGAACAAACAAGCACACAAGTACATGTTGCTCATTAACTGTACTGGTGCAATATGAAAAATAAATGTTTGTGTTAAAACTACGCAAACTTACATGAAAAATGTAGCTGTACATCCACAAAATATAGGCTACTTTGTTTCATAAAGCGCAAAAAAAGGCATTTTTGTTTTCTAAAGCCCCTAAGGGGTTCAAACAATAGGCCCCCCCATTTCAACAAATGAGTTTTTTTTTTTTACTAGAAGAGTTCTGCCTTTTAAGACAGGAAAGTATAGCAGTTAAAGTTGCTACTTGAGAAAATACTGAACCATAGAGATAAAAATAGCCCTGTGATTCAAATTATAAATTGTATTTGGAATAAAAATGAGAGAACTAGGGGTGCTAAAAAAACACATCCTCCAAAGACAGATATTTACATGGGAATGTGGCAGATAATTAATTGACATATTACTGATCTTGCTGGATTTTATTCTGCTTTACTTCCATAAATTGCAGGATCTTCTTTACTTTATCTTTGCCAGAAGATTTAAACTTCAAAAGCCTTGCCCTCATAATTTGCAAGATAATTTATTTATAAAGGCTATTTTAATTATTGTGATCAATTTGCACCGTCAATCCCGGCACATGGGCGCTTCATTTGCAGTCTGGACGCTGAAACAGGCTGCAGCGGGATGCTTCTCCAAGTACATCCTGCGGCTCTGATTGCAGCGCTGAGAGAGATTCCTGCGGGAGAACGGGGTTGGGAGAGGGGAGGCGCCCCACGGCAGCAGCTGCCGCTGGAGGACAAGAGTAGGAACGATACATGCTTTCACGTAAGAGTCTCCAAAAGCCGCCAATGACACCGTAAAAAGTCGCCAGATTTGTCGCTAGTCACTTTTTAAAAAAAAAATAGTCGCTGGAGGGGTCTGAAAAGTCGCTAAATATAGCGACTAAGTCGCTGAGTTGGAAACACTGCGCACCTGCGGCGCTGACTCGCTCTGCCGTATCTTTTTTTTTCTTCCCCTTCAGTCAAGTGGCAGTGATAATGGCGGCAGCGGATGACGCATTAATCGCGCGACACAACTAATCGATGATGAAATTCGTTGCCAACGCTTTTAAAAGTCGATTTTTATCGATTTTATCGATTCGTTGTTGCAGCCCTAACTCCTGGATAGAAACGGGATAGTTTATATTTGGAGAGGTGGGCTCTATGTACTATTTCAAACTGAATGAGGCAATGGTGCGCACATAGAGATGAGGTATTCACCAGTTTGAGTATAGAGTCCCATGTCTGATCCGGTATGGTCATATTCAAGTCCTCTTCCCATGAGGCTTTAAGTTTAAGTGTGGAGGTCTCTTTCATAGTAAACATTTTATTATAAAGCCATGAAACCAGCCCTTTAGAAGTTGGGTTCAATGATAGGATGGTTTCTAACAGTGTATGCTCTGGCAGAGAGATTGAGCCTGACAAGTGAGACTGAATAAAGTTTCTGGTTTGTAAATATCTAAAAAAAAAATGGGATTTAGGTACCGGTAAACCATATTTTTTGCTAAGTTCCTCAAAGGATGCCAAATTTTTCCCAATGAAACAGTCCTTAAAGTAAGTAAGGACTGTTTCATTGGGAAACAGTCACTGCCACTCTAGAAACACCCCATCCTGAACAGATGGTTTAAAAAAATTGTGGACTTAAGAAGGAGAAATCGTGAAGTTTAAAGTGTTTCCTAAACTGGCCCCATATTTTCAGCGAGTGTTTCACTACTGGGTTTAAAGTAGGGTTAGATGTGGAGAGTGACAGTGGGGAACACAGCACGGCAAATTGTTACCACTGCATAGCTCCATAGCCACCGAGTCAGGACAGCCCCCTTGATTATAATAGAAAAACCAAAACACTAGGCATCTAAGATTGGCAGCCCAGTAATAGAACTGAAAATTGGAGAGGGCAAACCCCCCTTGCGGTTTTGGTTTTTGGAGTTGTAATTTATTAAGCCTTGGGCGTTTACCCTGCCAAATGAAAGATGAAAAAGTTGAGTCTAGCTCATTAAAAAAAAGTATTAGGAATACAAATAGGTAAATCCTGAAAAAGGTATAGAAATTTGGGCAGTATATTCATTTTAATTGAGTTGATACGTCCCACAAGGGACATGGAAAGGGGTGTCCACTTTGTGAGGGATTCCTTCACTTGGTTCAACAGCTTAATCAAATTCTCTTTAAACAAATGTTTATGCTTTTTTGTCACTGTGATACCAAGGTATGTACATTTTTTGTCTTTCAATACTAAACGGCAGGTTAGCAAAGTCTGACATGCTAACTTCATTACCTATGGGGAAAAGCTCACTTTTGGTAAGGTTCAACTTATACCCTGAAATCTGACCGAATTGGCTAAATATATTGAGAGCAGAAGGCAATGAAGTTGATGGTTTGGAGATAAAAAGTAGAAGGTCATCTGCATAAAGCGACACTTTGTGTTCCATGTCATTCCTCCAAATGCCGGATATCTGTTTACTGGTTTTAAGTGCAATGGCAAGGGGCTCTATGGCCAGATCGAAAAGCAGGGGACTAAGAGGGCATCCCTGACGGGTGCCTCTTTGTAATTTAAATGGTTTTGAGATCTGAAGGTTGGTACGAACTGTGGCAGACGGTTGCTGGTATAATAATTTAATCCATGAAATGAAGTTTCCTCCAAAGCCAAATCTGTTAAGGACTGCAAATAGATAGTCGAACTCAACCCGGTCAAAGGCTTTTTCGGCATCCAGAGAGACCACACACTCAGCCGAATCCGTGGCACTAGAATAAACAATATTGAGCAGTCTTCTAATATTAAAATATGAGTGCCGACCTTTAATGAAGCCTGTTTGGTCATTGGAAATAATTGAGGGTAAAACCGCTTCAAGTCTACGGGAAAGAATTTTGGCCAGAATTTTCACATCGGTATTTAAGAGGGAGATAGGTCTGTAAGAGGTGCATTCCACTGGATCTTTGCCTTTTTTTTTTATAAGTGTGATACAAGCTTCGTAGAAGGATTGGGGAAGGGATCCATGTTTAAAACAGTCACTAAAAGTAGAGCTGAGCTGCACAGAGAGTAAGTCTGAAAATTGTTTGAAAAATTCTGCAGGGAAACCATCCGGTCCTGGGCATTTGCCAGGTTGCATTGAGGCTATTGCTAGGGATACTTCTGCAAGAGAAATAGGTTCATCCAGCTTATTTTTAAATTCTGGTGAGATTACAGGAATGTGAAGCTTAGCTAAAAAATCATCAGTCATGTTAGAATTGGTTTGTAATTGTGAGCTGTAAAGCTCCTCATAAAAGTCCCTGAATGCATCATTAATTTGACAATGGTCTGTGACTACATTACCGTCTTGTTTTCGAATTCTGGAGATAGTTTGCCTTGCCCTAGAACCCTTGAGCATGTTTGCTAACAGTTTATCAGGTTTGTCACCATGCACATAAAATTTAGATTTGTTATGTAAAAGCAGGCGTTCGGCTGAGTGTGCTGTCAATAGGTCGAGCCTTGTTTTAAGTTCAACCCGTCTTTTAAACAGTTCTGGGCATTGATTCAAAGCATATTTTATGTCAATCTCTTTGATTTGCTGCGTTAGGTTGTTCTGTTCATAGGTGGCTTGTTTTTTAATTTTTGCAGAATAAGCAATAATCTGCCCTCTGATGTAGGCCTTAAAGGCATCCCATACCACGAGGCTGGAGGTTTCGTGGGAAGAGTTGGTAGCAAAAAAGAAACGTATCTCGCCTTGAATAAACTTTACAAAGTTTTCATCTGACAGCAGAGTTGAATTAAAACGCCATTGTCCAGTTCTTAGGGTAAGATGGGGAAGGGACAGGGACATAGTGAGTGGGGCGTGGTCTGAAATAATTATGCTTTGGTAGTCACAGGAACGTATCTGCTGTAGCCATTTTGCATCCATAATAAAGTAGTCAATTCTTGAATATGTTTTTTGTACATGTGAAAAGTATGAGTAGTCCCTCTTATTGGGATTTAGAGTTCGCCACACATCACACAGCCCATACTCAGATAGAAAGGATTGTATAACTGATGCAGACTTGCTTATGACATTGCTTTTAAGGGATGAGCGATCCAAAGCTGGGTCCAGCCAACAATTGAAATCACCCCCGAGGACCAGTGAGTATTTATTGAGGTCTGGTAATGAAGAGAATAGTTGCTTAAAAAAGTTCTCATCATCGATGTTGGGAGCATAAACATTGACCAAAGCAACCAGAGTGTTGTGCAGCTTCCCACTCACCATTATAAATCGGCCGTGTTTATCAGCCACCACATTATCGGCCTCAAACGGAGTATTCTGGCTGATAAGTATGGAGACCCCTCGTGACTTAACCTGAAAATGGGAATGAAAACATTGTCCCTTCCAGCATGTCAGAAGACGACCTCCGTCCGAGCTCCTGATTTGAGTTTCTTGAAGAAATGCCACATCTATATTAAATCGTTTAATATGAGAGAAAACCTTCCTTCTCTTCACTGGGTGGTTTAAACCTTTAACATTCCAACTTAGAAAATTTAAATACCGACTCATGGTCTCAAAGTTTAGGTGCTATTTTACTTTGATAGGTATAATAACAGTATGGCAGGCAGAGATTGAGGGAAAAAAAAGATGTAAAGAACAGTTACAGCACTATGCGAAACCCCCGGCTGTGACCTTAGCCTCCCCCCTAAGCCCCCCCTCCAAACGTAAACAGCTGCCAAACAAAAAAAAAACAAACAACAACATGGCAGCAAGCTCTTCAAAATTAACATTCTCAAAAATCGAATCTTCCAGTAATCAACAACCTCAGATTAGCAGAAAAAAGAAAAAACAGCTGTCAATAACAAACCAACCACTGCTCCTAGTGGGCATGGAATAGATAACCCCCCCACCCCAACGTAAATATTTATCTTGTACTTTACTGGCCACCGAGCACACCAAGAGAAAATAGTAATGTGGCAAAAATATAATAAAAAAAAAATTAAGCTACCACACCAGATAAAAGGAGGCTCCCGACACTATTGGGACAGAACAAACCAGTGTTATTAGAGCTGCTCCTTCATTCATAAAGTCCAATACCAACAAAAGGGATGGCCAGAATAGGTCAATTTGTAAAAAAAAAAAATAATAATATGTTAACAGGCTGTATTTACAGTACCTACTGCGCCCTGAAGAAAACCAGCCCGCCTGTTTTTATGTAGTGAACTCTCAGTACAGCGTTGCTCCTTTATTGGTCTTCTGGTGGTTTCGGGAGCCTCTTGATGAACTGCTGCGCCTCCTCCACCGAGCCCAGAAACTTTTTGGCACCGGCGGATTGCGTAATACGAAGACGGGCCGGGAAGAGAAGAGCCGGCTTCAACCCCCGCCTGTAGAGTTCCGCCATTGCGTCCTTATATTCCGCGCATCGGGCCAGGACGTCTGGGCTATAGTCTTCCACAATACGAACAGATGCACCTTTGTAGTCCAGCGTTCCTCTCCTCCTGGCTTCCCGGATAATGAGGTCCTTGGTCTGGTATCGGTGCAGGCGAAGGATAACCGGCCGAGGTGGACGTCCCGCGGGTCGCTTAGCTGCCAGGGAACGGTGCGCCCTATCGAGCTCCGGTGGGGTCGGGAGCGCCTCCTTCCCGAGCAGTTCGCAGAGAAGGTTGGAAAAGAAAAGAGTAGGGCGCCCACTTTCAGTGTCTTCAGGGAGACCGAGGATGCGGATGTTCTGTCGTCTACTGCGGCTCTCCAGGTCAGTGACTTTGTCTTTTAACTTGGCGTTGTCTTCACGGAGAGCAGCACACGAGTCTTCGAGGTTAGCCACTCGCTGGCTCAGATCCTCTGTAGCGAGTTCTAAGGAGGAGATTCGCTCTGCTTGTTCCTCCAGGGTCTGCCGCATCTGGTCTAGCTTGGAGCTAAGCATGTTGGCAGAAGATTTGAACTCGGATTTCAGATCCTCCCTATGCTGCTGAAGCAGTGCGGTGATAGCCTCCAGCGTTAAGCTACTGTAGCATCCTCTTTCCTCCCTCCTTTCGCGCTTTTGCTGGCCATTAGTAGTGAATAATTAAACAAAAGCACAGTTCAAGATGTTTTGGTATCGCTGGGAGACGCAAAATTAACTTTCCGTGGGGCGAATTTAGTTAAAAGGTTGAATTGTTCTGGAGCAGTTCGTTGCTACGTCTACCCTGTCCGCATGGCAAACCGGAAGTCGCTACTAGTTTTTTTTTAACATCTAATTAAAAAATCTTCCATCCCTAAATAATCACTGTATAAAAATAAAAAACACAAACACATGAGCTGTGCTTCTGCTAATGAAACTATTTCCTTCCAATAGGATGCAGCTGAACTTGCTGCAAGGATACTTCTGGACCAAGGACAGGTAAGATTGCAGGAAATATATAAATCATTTATGTATCGGGTTTAAATATAATATAACAAATGTTTAGAAAACAACCGTTCTGAAAAAAAATGATTTCAACTAGATTGTCAGGCAGTGAAGCTCAGACATTTTCCCGAAAAGAGTTTTTGGGAAAAACACACAACTCTAGAGGATAAAAGCATCAGATTGGCTGAAAAACAATATCTAAATATCAAATATTTGCCAATAAGACGCAATTTCTAGTCGTTACAAAATACTGTCTTAATATCTGTTGGTTTTTTTGTCATCTTAAGCAGGCCAGTTAGTTATAAATGAGCTTGTACACCTAAATCTGGCCAATCATATATCAACAGCCATCTGTCAATAACATTTTTTTGGTCATAGGTTTAGGGTTGAAAAAAGAGATAAGAATAAATTACTTAACCATTGAGCTCCATCCCAGTGTTCACAGGGATGGACATCTGTGTCTTCGGCAGGCGTAGAGCTAACAGAACTGGCAGCGTTGCGAGGCAAGGGCTCAAACATGTACGGCTGTAAGAATTCTACACCAAACAAAGCGTCTGTCGCCCTGGCGTCCTCTTCCACAATATCTTCATCCCCGCTTTCCTCCTCTAAATAAAAAATATAGGATGGAGGAGACTCATCCACAACCTCCGATACAAACCTCTCCTCCTCTTGCATGTTTCCTCTGTCCATAGCGTTCCTTGACAGTGTCGTTGCTAAGTCACCAATTTAGTGCTACTTGGTCCCAATGGAATTTCCCATTGGGAACCTACTAGCACTAAGTTGCTAACTGGTTAGCCAAATGCTTCCGATAAACCTGCTTGCAAACCTTCTGCCACAACAATCTCGCCCCTCGATAAACGACCAATCAGATTCACTTTATTCACTCGTGTAAAGTCGCTTGCAACGGTTGGAACAGCCGCTTCCCTACGACTTTAAAGGATGCATGTGCAGATGAAGTGTATTTATGCTGCACAGAGACCCATTAACAGACAGGACTCCTTACGTTTTATCCCAGTATATACCGGCATGTCAGAGAGACACAGTTCATTAAGATCTGCTCCAAAAATGGCCTGTTATTATCCAGACGGTTCTCTGATGGGAACAGTCTGCAACCAGTAGCAATTGGAGTAAAAAAAAAGAAAGGATTCCCTATCATGCATTCAGGAGGGCTTAAAAGGACAGAAAACCATCTGATCATTATAAATGCGGTTATAAACACCAAGCATCTGTCCTGGTAGCGCTTTTAAGTTATTTTTAATGTAAATAAAACCACATAATTAGGGCTGATAACATAAACATAAACGGAGTATTCCTCATCGTTTTCACACCTCCACTGGGAGGTGCTAACTGGTTTAGTAGGTAAGCTTTCTTCTAGAAATTAACAACAAAATACTAGCTATTTTAAGTATAGAGCCACATATTGCAGGCTGCAGTTTGCGCTGATGTATTCCTCTATGAATTAGCCAATTGTATTTCCTTTGCTACAAACCATGTTCAAAGATATATTGGCTTGAATTAAAGCTTTGTTTTAATTAACCAATAAATTTAGGAATAAAATCAGGCATAATTGTAGATAAGCATTCAATATCTATGCAAAGTTAAGAACTAGATTTAATTTAATGTCTGAATAGTTTCCTTGGCCCCAGAGTTAAAGGAATTCACTCTGTGTTCTGCTTGAATGCTATGAAACAGAAAGAATAGAACGTGTCAAAATTAAGCTCTTTGGATTCAAACAGTCTGTTTTGGTAATAAAGTTGGAGCAAAGACTTTTGTTTTTCTTCTCTGGATTCAATGATTATTGAAGTTTTGCAGCCATTAGCTTTGAATAAGCTAATTTATTAACATTTTATGGTATATATATATATATATATATATATATATATATACAAATATGGCTTTGTTTTGCTGCAATGTTCTGGAAAATCAAAGTAGATGGATTATCTGAACACTGATGGTGTTTGTTTCGTTTGCTGCTTAAATCAAAGCGCTTTCATGTGTTAGAAATGTCTATATTTAAAAAATGTTTCTAAACCCACTTTAACCTTTATTGTATGATAGACTGACTATATGGAAGTTAGAAGCAGCAATCACTTCAGGGTGTCGGATCTGGACACTGTAGGAAAGCTCAGGTGCTTGCAGTAAGAAGAAGAAGACTCATTTAATCAGGTTTGATTGATTTTTCTGCATTTAAGGATCTGTGGGGGCGTGTGTGAAATTCTGAAATACAAACACTCAGTACAGACTCGGAAAACAGAAAAATAAATCAAACCCAGGCCTAAATATCATACCAGCCTTCAGCATGCACAGTATAATCAACAGGGATTATCAATCCTGCAACATAAAACTCTAAGCCTATTGCTAGTTAGCAGCTATCAGCAAATAAAACTGTTTACCATGAAATACACAACATAAACATATTAACTCACGGCTCTATGGAAGCACACACTGCAGTCATTAAACCGATGTCTGCTCTGAATCGAGTGCTATGCATATGGTGCGTTTAAGAACTTTGGTGAGGTAGGAATTTACATGAACAGGGATTAACTTTTGTAGGTTTATCATACACTGTTATAAAATTCTATCCAAATTGCCTCCTCTGCTCAGGAACACAGCGTTGAGACCCCGCATGGTGTTCTACGTGTTACCCTGCATGGGACACGGACCACCCGCAGGCCCGCCATCCTAACCTTCCACGACGTTGGTCTGGACAGTGAGTGAAGCTCTTCCTGTCTCGGCTTCCTCGTTTCCGTCTCTCCTCCATCCTCCTCCTCCTCACCCCTTTGTGTTTCTCCGGCAGGTAAGAGCTGCTTCTCTCCTCTCTTTAAATTCGAGGAGATGCAGGAGATCGTGAAGAATTTCACCCTGATTCATATCGACGCTCCGGGACAAGAGGAGGGGGCCTCCGCCTACCCGCCAGGGTATGACTCCACCCACTTCAGCTCAGTAATGTGTCCCGATGTAACCCTTTATTTCCTCAGAGTACATTTCTGTGAACAGTCTTCTGGCTGTAAAATACTCCCTGCTAAAAATACTCAACATTACCATCTCTCCTAACCCCTCCCCGCTATTGCTAAGGTGAAAACAAAATCCTCGCTTCTCTCTCTGTGCGTCTTATCCAACCTTTCAGCTCCTCTTTCTTCTTCCGTGGTTAAGTTTATCTGAATGATGTGTTTGATGCTTATTCAGCCAATAGAAGCTTATTCTTTCTTCATTTTAAATCCATGTGAGCGGAAGTGTGAGCCACTGTTTGAAATCGGAACCATCAGAGCCTCTCCATTGTTAGCTATCAACATAGAGTCTGGTTAATTTAAAATAAAGAGGATCTCTGTCCACTTCATGAGATTAATCTCTGCTTTCGTAGCTACCAGTATCCCACCATGGAGACCATCGCAGAGATGATCCCTGCTGTGCTGCAGTTTTTCAAGTGAGCCGGAGATCATTTGAATAAATCCTTCCGCATAAAAATCTGTTTAAATAAAGCTATTTCTTGAATTTTCTGATACGCCTGTGCTGCATTAACTTCATGTCTCCGTCTGTCAGCTTCCGTACCGTCATTGGAGTGGGGGTGGGAGCAGGAGCGTACATCCTCTCCAAGTTCACAGTGAGTAGCTTCTATTGTTGGAGCTGTCATTTTTTTACCATCAGGGACTTTTGCTGAAGTCTAAAGAAGCTGTCATCGTCAGACGCTGTTTCAGCTCTCAAGCTGACGAGGAAGACGGTAAAGTCCTGAGGAAGGAGGGAAATGATGGAAGTTTTAATTGGCAGCTAAAAAACAAGTTGGCTGTACTTTTTTTCAGCTATTTTCAGTCCTGTTTTCCACCACTGTTGGGAACAATTTTCGTAGCTGCTGCTCAGCTTGTCCAAATGTTAGAAATGCGGAAAAATAGACGGATTATTCCTGAATGTACAGAGACTTGGAAAATATTCCATTCCTTTGAACCAACTTTACTAATTTTCTCCTGGTTGAAGTGAGAAAACATGAGTGGATTTTATTATAATTTCATGTTACAGACCAAAACAAAGTTGTGTAAAGTGGTTTTTGGTCCCATCATTGACCTTTACTTAGCTCTACTCTAGTGGCAGCTGGTGGACTTTTCTCCAGTGGGGGCTATGAATTAAAAATAGACGTATACCAAAAACCAATCAAATGTATACTCAGTTATCACACTAGTATACTCATATGAATGCCAACAACAAAAAACATTATAAAAACATTTTATAAAAGAAAAACATTATTTCATGTACAGGTTTACTTTTTGTACATAAATCTTGCCCTTCTGAGGCTTTATGAAGGCAAATCTTTGTTTTGCATGGTCCAATATGGTGTCACAAACCTAAAAGTATAATGCACCACTTTGATAATGGAGAACCTATTAGTTTAGGTTTTATATTTTTTAATATATAAAATATATTGTTTTCTGAGAATGTCTTTATTTAAGAGCAAGTATCCAAACTAACAAACATCTAGAAAAAGTACACTATATTCTATTATTTTCCTTTTGAATCCCAGATTGTTCACGCCTATTTGCCTTTTCTAAAAAGTGCTTTAAATCAGTCACACCTGTCATTATCCATTTTGGGTCAGATCCTGACGTTTAAAAAAGGAAACAGGGAAAGCACAATAAAGTGTTAGCCTCGCTACATGCAGTTAGCCAAGCCTTCTTGTTAAACCGGATCCTGGAAAAGGACGTTTCTTGCACCATTTCTCTCTCTTTCTCCAATGCGTCTCCAACTACCGCGAATCGACCTGTCAATCATCCGCAAAACGTCCGCGCCGTGGCAGGAGGTGGTGAGCAAATACACTTCCTGTCACCTCAGGTCACAGAGTAGCTGCACCATGCGCTGTCCTATGCCTTTGTGTTGTAGAGGAGCTACTGCACATGCACAACAACTTTTAACCAGAGTCAATGGCCAAAGATTTTTGCGCTCCAGGGTGGAAATATGTCACCAATCATAGGCGGATCTACTGGGGTGGCATAGGGTGGCAAATGCCACCCTAAATGACAGCCTTGCCACCCCAGCTGCCACCCCAGTTGGCGGTAGGGGTGGGCGAGGCTTATAAATTATGGATCATTTGAGAATTACGACCGCTAATTTCCAATGTCGGACTGCAGTGAATGCAGCACGAGATGACGCGAGAGCGACTGAGACTGATTAGTTTTGAAACCGAATGGGGCAAAGCGAGGGAGCCAGGGGTGATGGGGAGAGGAGAAACGGGATGAAACAGGTAAAAATTGATTAACTATCTATCGAGAAATGAAATCATAATGAAAGCACAATGTTGCTAGCATAGCTGCAATGCTGATTTACAGATGATAAAAATCAGGTTGCAGAACGTTATTTCTCTAACTATGATGTTAGTTAGGCCTGACATCTCAGGCTCATAAAGACATATTTGTGGTCAACTATGACAGAAAATAGACGATCAAGTTTGGTTGTACTCAAATCAAAACGCACAAAGGCATTGGATCTAAATAAAGTTGTGAAGCGTTTTGCTGAGCAACATGGAAATCACTGCATTCAGCTGTTATAGTCATGTTGACTTTATGTTATGCTCTCTGGTGAGCCTTTACAGAGCTGTTACATTTTGTTTTGGCACCTGAGAAAATCTGATATTTCCTTTAATAAAACCAAAAGTGTTAAAAATTAAAAATGTGATACTGGTGTAAATCCTGCTTAATATGAAGCAGTGTTGTTGTTTCTTTTTTTGTATATATAATATGAAACTATCCAGAAATTACCTGTATGAACCTACTCACAAGCAAAATGTATTTTTATGTTGCTTCTTTTCAGATTTGTGGAGATTTTGATGTAACATACAGAACCTGCCTTTTTGTTGATTTGTTGATACAGCAGTATGGAGGACCAACTCTGCCATATTTAAAAATAAATACAGAAATAAATAAATGCTTAATAAATAAATAAGCATACAATTAATTGCCACCAAAAATACAAACAACAAATAAATGTAAGTAGAAATTAAATTATACAGCTAGTCATAAAGGTATATAACTCTTTTTATTGGCTTCTTTATTTCTTTGCCTTTTTAATATTTACCTTATTTATTTTTTTGTCATTTATTATCTTCAACTTCATTTTTTAATTACTTATATTTTTGAGTATTTATTTATGTGCATGTTATAATATTTTTGTCTGTTTTATTCTTCCTTTGTATTTTTTTACCCTAGTTATTACTTCGCCGCTATTTCTTTCTGCCTGCCCTTTTAACATTTCTGCCTGCCATTATAATATAATTTCTAATTACATTTATTTGTTGATTGTATTTTTGGTGGCAATCAATTGTATGCTTATTTATTTATGGAGCATTTATTTATTTCTGTATTTATTTTTAAATATGGTGGAGTTGGTCCTCCATATGCAGCTCTATTTACAACATATTTACATGCATGAAATGTCCCTTTCATGTTGCCTTAACTGCTGTATGTCAAGTTACTAAGGAACAAATGGGGTAAATGTGTGTTCAGAGTAAACAATACATGGATGTCCGGTACCTTGTTCGGGTGCTTTCACCCATTTATTTCTACTGTGTAGTTATGCTGACTTTAGTACAGCTCAGTCCATAGATCTCTGATGGGAAACTTTTTCTTTCTATCGTTTCTTCTTGTGCAAATGCTGCAAAGCTGCCTCTCTGACAGTTAATCTCACACATCTGCGACTCAGCACCTGTGTCTTACCTTAATACCTTTCCTGTCATAAGGCCCCTCTAGAAGTAGTGTTATCATTCTTCTATCTCCTATCAGTTGAGATCACATTGTACGATGTATTATTAATATGAACTGTTTCACATGAAACACTAGTACTGTACATACTATTCTCACCAAACTGTGATAACTGTGATTAAATTCAGTGTAAACAAATGCCATATGTTGCCACCCCTAAAAAATTCCTGCCCCCCTCTTGCCACCCCATAAATATTTTTCTAGATCCACCCCTGTCACCAATTCGACGAAAAATGGTATGACGATTTACTAGGCATTAAAGATTAGATATTTATCTTGTATATATACTAATATATTTCAAAATATTTTACATTTTAATTTAAAAATAGAATTATTTTAAAAAATGGCTTAATCAAGATCATTGGGTGGGTGGGGCGGTGCCCTATCGTCCTCTGTGGGTTAGCTGCCACTGCTCTACCCCCATCATTTCCACATTCTGTCAAAACAGCTATCCACATAGTATGATGTTGCCACCTCCATGCTTTAAAATGTACATGGTGTGTTCAAATAAATGTGGAGGGCTTTATTCCACCCCAAACATTTTGCATGTAGGATCAGGAGTTACATTTGCTGATGTAAACAAATGTGAAAAAAGAAACTGCTTGCAAGGATCCCTAGCTTGATTTGGGTCAATGCGGGGGTTTTAAACGTATATTCTATAAACTGATCCACAGTTCATTTTAGTTTAGATTTCTTGAATGGAATGTGTCATTTCTTCCTATATCTTTTGTACAAACAGCTTAAAGGAATAGTACACCCAAAACATGATTAGCCTTCATTTTCTACTCACCCCCATGCTGAACAACACTCTCAAGTACTTTTTTGATATCTCAAATGCATCTGGAGATCTGGGAGGCTTCTTGCTGTCTGCTGACATTCAAATAATGGAGGTCTATGGTGCCCGAGGCAGAAAGGTCCATAAAAGTCCACAAAAAACGTGTCAATATTCCTCCATACTGCTCGTCCAATGTATTCCAAGTGTCCTGAATGGGTAGCATCCAGAATTTACTCGAAACAAAGTCATTTAGAATGTTTTTAGAGCATAAACAGTAGTGTATAGGATTTCCTGAAAGCATGCGCGTGCGCGTTCACGACGCTACGGAAGCCGGCAGACCAAACCAGATGAAAGTGTTAAGAACAAATTTGTTTATATGAAGGCTTCTTGCAATGTGCTTATTACATGGCGTGGACCGAACCGGTTTGCATATCTTCACCCCTGCTTATCCAATCTTTAGAGATCACCCAAAACACGCCCACTTATTGAACGTGCTTTCTTTTTGTCCACACAATTCACAGCTCCTTATTTGGATTCTTTGAGATCAGACCCTAAGGCCTCTTAATCTCTACACCTTCTCATTTTAACAGCTGCTGCACCAAACAGAATGACACCTAACTGAAAAGATGCTTTTTATCCTTAGTTTAACCCCAATATATTCCTGTCAGCCTCATTACATTTAGTAATACATCAAACGTTCCGTTATCTGCAGGTTATTCATGTATTCATACAAACAGAATAGAAAACACGCATACAAGCAGGCAGGCATGATGTAATTGGTATTTTGGGATGAAAACCAGAAAAAAAACATCAGCATTATTGGTATATAACAGGTGGATCTAAAAAAGAGTGGAATAAACTGAGAGGTTATTATGCTGAAGCTGTAATTCTACTTGAACAAATGCTTAATGAGGAGCAGGCTGCAGGAAAGGTGAGGTACATTAAAGTGTCTCATCCCTGCCCAAGAGCAAAGAGATGTCGAAGGACAGCAGGAAGAAAACTGTAGACCTGCAGTAGGCTGAGAAGAGGAATCTACAATAGGCAGGTAGGTTGGCGTAAATAAATGGACTCTGGGAGCAATTGGAGGAAAATTAAAGACCATTGATGAACAAATCTCCCTTGATCTGGGGCCCAAATGATCATTGAAACAGTGACTAAAGATTGCAGGAATAGAGGGAGGGACCTGATGACACTATCACCTTAAAATAAAACACTTTTCTGCATGGAGATTTAAACAAGCCGAAGGTGGGAGATTGGGTTTAATTCAGAAATCTTCACAATAGAGAGTAATCTGAAAGGGTGAAATACATTGATTCAAAGGAAAAGGGTGAGCCTTACAAAGTGTTAAAAAGCTTATTGTTCTGTCTTTTATATCACGTTCAGCCTAAAGTCCTGTATAATAAACTCTGCAAACAAAGCAGATAAAACAGGAAACTGTGTGGGGCAGATGTATACGTAGAAGTTTTATCTGCTTTGAACTGGATTTCTGTCCACAGCTCGCTAATCCAGATTCAGTGGAGGGTCTGGTTCTGATTAACATCGACACTAACGCTAAAGGATGGATGGACTGGGCCGCTCACAAGGTTCGTCTCCCTGTCCTCTGACTTGGTGTCTTCCTGCCGAGACAGGACAATAAAAATGTGATGTACTAATGGAGTCTGGCCAGATGAGAGTTGTTAATCAGTTTAAGGATATTCATTTGGGCATGTTCTGTTTTACTGTATTATTGATTGTTTTTATGTTAATGATGTGAGGCTTTAATCTTTGTTCTTTCTGTCCTCTGTAGCTGAGTTCGGTGACTTCCTCCCTCACAGAGCAGATCCTGTGTCACCTTTTTAGTCAGGTACAGCCACAGCAAACAGAGGCACAATTCATCTGGCGGAAAATCACTTCATATGTTTATGTCCTGATGTTTTACTTTTTCTTTTGTAATGTAGGAGGAGCTGTCATCGAACACAGACTTAGTGACGTCTCACAGAGAGCGCATCTCCAAAGCGCCTAATCTGGCCAACATTGAGCTCTTCTGGAAAACGTACAACAGGTAACAACGTCCATCAGGGGGAAGTATACTAACTTAAATCAAACGCAGACTAAACCCGCCTTTCTGCCCAACGCAGCCGCAGAGATCTGAACCTGGATCGCAACTACACCTTCAAGTGACTACACCTTTCTGTTTTTAACAATGACTTTGATGTTTGGGTGGAGATGATCTGAGATTGTAATGTGTGTCTTTATCAGGTGTCCAGTGATGCTGGTGGTGGGTGATCAGGCTCCATACGAAGAGGCCGCTGTAAGTGACCCACCTCTTTCCAGACATTCCTCTGTTCTGTGATTTACACTGATAGAATTTTCACATGCTTTTCTTCCTTTGTATACTAGGTGGAGTGCAACAGCAAGCTGGACCCAACATCCACTTCCTTCCTGAAGGTCAAACATCATTTTGTGCCTCTGTTAAGCTTCTCTTATTCAGTTTTCTTCCTTTAACTCTTATTACCTTTCCCTTCTGCAGATGGCCGATGCAGGCGGCCTACCTCAGCTCACTCAGGTAACAGAAAGCCCTGAAAGCTTTAGAAATATCAGTATTCAGCAGGGCTGCAGAACATACGTCTACGCAGATATTTTGAAAGGCAGGTATGGAAAAAAGGGCACATGCTGGCTATGTTTGAATTCATGGGCTGCGTCTTCCAATGACGCTGTCATGATGGGTATCTGAGCTAGCCCAAAATGCAGAACACACACGGAGGCTGGATAAAGGTTCAACAGAGTTTATTAAGGTTTCACAAAAACACACGAATATGAACTGATCTGGAACTGGTTTGGGCTGGTTCACAGAAGTCTTGACTGGGACCAGAGACTGTTGGTTAGCAGAGTTCATGAGGAGCTAAAGCATCTAGCTTCAGACTTAGCATTGCTGACCTTGATCTGAGCTACCAGCTCTTCACTGAGAACAGCAGGGGATATCCACATAGGAAATCTTCAGGTTAACTCCACTTAGGAATCATCAGGTAAACTCCACATAGGAGTCTTCAGGTTAATTCCACATAGGAATCTTCAGGTTGGCTAACCAGGGCTGATTAGCAGGTTAAGCTCACCCAGAGCTTCAGACTAGCGACAGGTTTCCTGTGAGGCACAGACAAAGGAGAGATTAGAATCTGATCTCACACTAGAGACAACTAAGATTCTTCCAGTAACAGAGGCTCAGGTTGCTAACCAAACTAAGATCAACACTGCGGCGTGGAAGCAAGGTCTGGCAGGAGCTTATAAAGGGGAGATCTCCTGATGAGTAGATGCATAACAGGTGTGCTGGAAGACTCCAGCCCTAGGAGAACCACGGCGCACTCTGCTGGAGACAGAAGGTAATCTCCAGATCCCAACAGTAACTCCAGTCCTGAAAGAAAACAACAAAGAGCAGAAGAGGATCCTCGGCGCCCTCTGGTGGGCCAGCCTGAGGATCCCAACAGACGCGGCCCAGCTGGACCTGATCCTTCAAAGTCCTCGAAAATAAGCAGACCTGAGTTTTGGCTGTGAATTCAAACAGGTCTAGCCTGTTTGCTATGGAAGCAAATCGTTAACATATTTATAATGAAAAAGCATTTCCAGAAATGCTTTTTCATTTTAAGAATGTGGCATCCCTGATTTTTGTGCTAAAGAATCCCCCCCACCCCCCACCCCAATCCATTTAATTTGATCCTTTTTTGTAAAAATGTTTATATCTCAACAAAAGGTCAAAAATAAATCCTTTAGTAGCTCTGCCATACTTTAATTAGCTTATATCAGTTAAATACACCTGAATAACTGGGATTTTGTAGCGTTTTCTGTTAAGTTAGGAGAATATTTTAACATATTTACCACACAAATCTGGGGTTAATGTGATTATTTGACCCTTTAGATTTAGAACCTGGAATTAATTTAGATTGTGACCATTTACTTAACAATACACTGGTATTTTTCTTACTTTAGTGTCTTTCACTAATGTAGAGCTTCTGGTTTTCTATCCAATTATTCTAAAATGCATTGTTTGCACAATCCGACCAATAATATGGATTGAGCACAGATGTCAGACTGCAGTGCATTCTGGGAGTGTTTTTTTATTCACTGTCATCTAGGCTAAAATGTATTCTATAGACAGCAGCTAGAGAGACAGAAGGAGATAATGTTTTTATGACGTTTTTTCATTCTCTGTTTCTCATCTGCCTTACCATGTGGATCACATGTTTAGGCACATGAGAACCAGAACCAAAATCTAACAAATGTTCACTTCCATCTTGAAAATCAGACAAAAATCACAACAGAAAGCAAAATAAGTTAAATGGATAAACAACAAACAACTAACTTAAATTGACGACGCTCTGGTTAATACTGGGAGCTCAGCCAAAGTACGCTGAAATACGATGCTTCATCTGCCGTAGATCTACACAGTTGTGTAACCTCCATACATAGATGTCCTGCTGTGTTTTATAATTAGATTAGATTAGATTAGATTAGCTTTATTGATCTCACAGAGGAGAAATTCATTCATTCAATTCTCATCACAAATTGGCATGGTGAATATATAAGGTGCAAACAAGGGGGAAAAAGGTAGCCTGACGTAGTCCGACTCAATTCTAGTCAGAATATGAGTCTGATACTGCTCCATAGAGCTGTGATTATGGGGCGTGTTTCGAACGAACCAGGAAAAAAAATGCCTCTGCACTTAATTGGATAGATCTACAACCAATAAGAGCAACGGAGTGCGTGACGTATGTTAAGCGAGGCATAGTTGTTGTCCACAAAAATCAAAGCGTGCAGTTTCACGCCTAGAATGAGAAGATGAGACTTGATCGCGTTTCTCTGTTCCTCTTTTAAAATTAATTTGCTGTCGATATCTTCTAGAACAGACCTAATAGCAGAATCTACTCACCCAAACTCTCCAGCGGCAGCCATTATTGTTGTCACCCAAGCGCGCTTTGGTCACGTGGTTGATTACGTTACTCTTGATCATCTGTCCATCATCGTATAAAGCCCGCCCTGACAATTTGATTGGATCGCCTGACAGTGGGCGATCATACTCGCGCTACTATGGAGCAGAGCCAGACCGAACTTCCCCGAACTCAAACCTTGTGGGCGGGACTAAGTTCGGACTGGCACCCAGGCTAGGAAAAAGGTGCATTAAGAATAAAATTCCTACGATCTTTTCACTTCTATTACACTCAGGTTTTGTCATGATCTTTTCTAAAGCTTGGACCCACATGCAGAGAAACCAATTCAGAGAGACCAGAGAAAGGTTTAACGGGTTTTATTGAAGAAGTTAAACAGAGGGAGAAGTGTTGCTCTGAACACTGCTCAACCGGAACTGTAAAGTGAGGGGAAGACACAGCAGTTAATTCAGGCTCAGTGGGGAAAATGACTCTTGAGCTTGGAGAAGAGGATTTGGTTGCCGACTCACGTTTCCAGAGAAGTTGTTGAATCCTTGACTCCTGTCTGTGTGCCGTGGTTCCAGTGTTTGTGTGATTCGGTGGAGGGCGGAACAGGGTTTACCCAGAATGCGGTTGATAGTTGGTGAACGGAGAAACTTACTGCCACTCAGATTTCCTGCGGTACTTGAACGGGTCGTAGTGGATAATAATCCCTTTCTCAGTGAGAAGCTCAAATGATCTCTTAGGGAAAGTGGATCCAAACCTCCTCTTTGAACCCCAGCTCAGTTTGAAGTTCTGTTGATCCTTCCAGGGAGTGAAGGTCAGAGAAATCCAGTTTGTAGGATGACTTCCTGCCAAGAGGCAGTTTTGTCAACTCAGGTTGACAAAAACTCAGCTTGACTCAGCAAAAACTCAGCTTGGCTAGAGTACCCTAAACTGGCAAACACTCTAGCGTCGAAGTAGTGGCAGTCAGCAGCTTAAGAACGCTCCGTTTAACAAGGAAACCATCAGCAGGTGTGTGAGGAGGCGGACCAGAACCAGGCGCCTTCTCGTGGATGAAGAGAGACAAACACAAACACAAAAACAGGAGTCCTGACGGGTTTAAAAGCTTGATCTGATCTCTCCCTGCTCTACTTTAAATCCAGCAGAGACCGAAACATTTACAGGATTTGCCACTTATTTCTGTTTTTATCCTGACTTTTATCTGATTTCTGCAGCAGAAGTGGACGTTTGTTAGATTTTTTGTGAGGAAGCTGCTTTTACTGTTAATAAATCTCCTCTGAAATTACTTTATTTTTTAACATAACTGTTGTTTTTATATTTTACATTTTTCCTGATGTTGTTTTTTTTCCATGTCTGCAGCCAGCTAAACTCACTGAGGCTTTCAAATATTTCATCCAAGGCATGGGCTACAGTAAGTTCATTTTTTCTGATCAATCATTTCATAGTGAAACATCCTAGTCCTTGATCATACCTCCCATGTGATGTTTCATGTTGTATAAAGCCACACTGAACTGTATTTGATTAACAACTATTATACTGTAAAAAGTAACCAGACCAATCACAGCATTCAGGAGTTAGCTTCATTATAAGCACTATTCCATTATTACCCATAATGCAACAGTGGTTTACTGTAACCATAACAGTCCGGCTCCCATTTTATTATATCCTGAATGAGAGTATATCTTTCAAACAGGCTTCTGAGAGAGCTTTTCTTTATAGAAAAAAAAAAAAAAAACTTGCGTCACAGCTGTAGGTGACTGATTGGTTCTGACTGGAGATGAAGCTTCAGAAAGCACTGAAGCCTTCTATCCATTTGCTTTGTTCATGTTTCAAAGCCTCAAGAAGCTTAATTTGCTCTATTGTGCCATCAAGTGGACAATAAATGTAAAACGTGCAGTTTGATTATGACACTATGGCTTTGGTGTCTGGAGCACTGAATGAATTCATCAATGATGTTTGTGATGCTTATTCATAAAGTATAAACTTTTATATGGTGTCTGTCTTTATGATACAATGACACAGTCAGCCATTCATTTTTATTTTGACCGTTAACCCCACACTGCTCCCCGGGTGCCACACGACGGCAGCCCACTGCTCCCCAAGGGGATGAGTTGAATGCAGAGGTAAATTCCCCCAATGTGAGATCAATACAGTTCAAATATTTATTTAATATTAGATTGGTTATTTTTCTAATCAATCTATAAAAATATTTCCAAACTCTGTCCAACTGACCGTAACTCTCCTACTAACTGCCTCATCTTCAATAAATACTGAGGCTGTTGAAATATCTGTAATAGTCCATGGGCAAACCTAACCACTTCCTGAAGCGGTCATGTGGTATGGCGGTAGCGAGACTTCAGACGTCATCCATTTCAAGCCTCAATACGCACTTGGTGGAAATACTCCCTCCTCTACTCAACACACGGCTCATCTGATAACATCACTAGTTGTGTTTCCTCTGAGTTCTGCCTTTGACATCAGTTTTACCCACTCCTTTAACACACTGTGTATACAGGGGAAGTCAGTCAGGCCTGCCAGGCTACTGGGTATCATTATATAAATTATTCTATAAATATTACCTTTCTATATAACTCATTAGAAAGGTAAGGGTGGTTAGTCAGTTTTCCACCTTATGAGAATCAGGTCCAGTCAAACATATTTTTTTTTTCTCCCCCAAATTGATAAGAAAATGGCTACATCCTCACAAGTGTAGAAACGCTGTATTACATATTGCCCTTTGGTGGCGCTCTGACCATCCCCGAGCACCACACCCAAACCGCAGGCAGCTTATGAGAGGTAAACAGCAGCATGATGGCTAAGAGCACATAGAGAGGAAGCTGGAGCTACGGCCTCATCATAAAAAGAAAGCTGCAGTTTGCATGAACACACTGAACCATGAAACTGGCCTCATCAGATTTTTTTCAGAATCCTTTATTCAATTCAATTCAGTTTATTTATATAGCGCCAATTCACAACACATGTCATCTCAAGGCACTTTACAGTCCATCAGATCATACAGTCAAATTGATTCAAAGTTTCCTATCTAAGGAAAACTAGTTTATTGCATCGACTCATTGACCCGAATGCAATCCCTCACACTAAGCATGCTTGTAGCGACAGTGGAGAGGAAAAACTCCCTTTTAACAGGAAGAAACCTCCAGCAGAACCAGGCTCAATTTAAGTGGCCATCTGTCGAGGCCGACTGTGGTTCAAAGAGACAGAAGCAGAGATACAAAAAGCAGCTATAAAAGGAGGCCCTGTTCAGGAAACACACAGCCAGGCAGAGTCCGGGCCAACTCCCATGTCAGAGGAGGAAGAGAGCACATCCAGCCAGTCACAGTCAGAGAAACAGGACCACACTGGAAAACAGGCTGATCTCCAGCATCTATAAACAAGGGTGTTAATGGCAGCAGCACAGCTGATGTTTCTCTCCAGGATGGTGTCACAGCCAAACAGGAACAGACGAGGCAAAGCTACTCTGAGAAAAAGCAGAGAGAGCAGAACGTTAGAGATTGAACTAACAGATTCTGCAGAATAGGAGAATAGAGAGAGAATGAAGCAGAAAGATGAAATGGGGGTCCCTATGTCCTCCAGCAATCTAAGCCTATAGCAGCATAACTATAGAGATAGCTCAGGATAACCTGAGCCACTCTAACTATAAGCTTTATCAAAAAGGAAAGTTTTAAGCCTAGCCCTAAAAGTAGACAGGGTGTCTGCCTCACGGACTAAAACTGGTAGTTGGTTCCACAGGAGAGGAGCCTGATAACTAAAAGATCTGCCTCCCAGCTAGGATAGGAGAGATATGATCTCTCTTTTTAAATTTTCATCAGAACTCTGGCTGCAGAATTTTGGATCAGCTGAAGGCTTTTAACTACAGTTTGTGGACTTCCTGATAGCTGACAGCTTCTTTTTCAAAGACTCTGGTCCAAAGACTATAACTTCTGTTTTGTCTGCACTCAGAAGCAGAAAGTTAAGAGTCATCCATGTTTTTATGTCTTCGAGACATGCCTGTAATCTAATGTAGGGATGGAACGGTTTATGAAAACGTCCGAACCGTTCTGACTGATCCACAGCTGACTGTGCGACGCTCCAGCACTGTTCCACTCTCTGGCGTGCCACACCCCTCTCCAGACCGATCCAGCTAAAAGAGAAACAGGGAGAACGCCAGCATCCACGCACCAAAACCCCGTCGGAAGATACACTATATTGCCAAAAGTATTTGCTCACCCATCCAAATTATTGGAATCAGGTGTTCCAATCACTTCCATGGCCACAGGTGTATAAATTCAAGCACCTAGGCATGCAGACTGTTTTTACAAACATTTGTGAAAGAATGGGTCGCTCTCAGGAGCTCAGTGAATTCCAGCGTGGAACTGTGATAGGATGCCACCTGTGCAACAAATCCAGTCGTGAAATTTCCTCGCTCCTAAATATTCCACAGTCAACTGTCAGCTGTATTATAAGAAAATGGAAGTGTTTGGGAACGACAGCAACTCAGCCACGAAGTGGTAGGCCACGTAAACTGACGGAGCGGGGTCAGCGGATGCTGACGCGCATAGTGCGAAGAGGTCGCCAACTTTCTGCAGAGTCAATCACTACAGACCTCCAAACTTCATGTGGCCTTCAGATTAGCTCAAGAACAGTGCGCAGAGAGCTTCATGGAATGGGTTTCCATGGTCGAGCAGCTGCATCCAAGCCATACATCACCAAGTGCAATGCAAAGCGTCGGATGCGGTGGTGTAAAGCACGCCGCCACTGGACTCTAGAGCAGTGGAGACGCGTTCTCTGGAGTGACGAATCGCGCTTCTCCATCTGGCAATCTGATGGACGGGTCTGGGTTTGGCGGTTGCCAGGAGAACGGTACTTGTCTGACTGCATTGTGCCAAGTGTAAAGTTTGGTGGAGGGGGGATTATGGTGTGAGGTTGTTTTTCAGGAGCTGGGCTTGGCCCCTTAGTTCCAGTGAAAGGAACTCTGAATGCTTCAGCATACCAAGACATTTTGGACAATTCCATGCTCCCAACTTTGTGGGAACAGTTTGGAGCTGGCCCCTTCCTCTTCCAACATGACTGTGCACCAGTGCACAAAGCAAGGTCCATAAAGACATGGATGACAGAGTCTGGTGTGGATGAACTTGACTGGCCTGCACAGAGTCCTGACCTCAACCCGATAGAACACCTTTGGGATGAATTAGAGCGGAGACTGAGAGCCAGGCCTTCTCGTCCAACATCAGTGTGCGACCTCACAAATGCGCTTCTGGAAGAATGGTCAAAAATTCCCATAAACACACTCCTAAACCTTGTGGACAGCCTTCCCAGAAGAGTTGAAGCTGTTCTAGCTGCAAAGGGTGGACCGACGTCATATTGAACCCTATGGATTAGGAACGGGATGTCACTTAAGCTCATATGTGAGTCAAGGCAGGTGAGCAAATACTTTTGGCAATATAGTGTATGTTCCCATTTATGCTGAAAGCGAGAGGAAGCGCTACTTATAGGCGCGGGCAGAGGTTCCCCCTCTGCCCTGATACTCTTTACTGGACCGTCTGTGCAGCTCCCGGGGATGTGCCTGGCGCGCGGATCCCGCCTGCCTCTCCTCCGGCAGCACGTCCGTCTCTGTCACCTGCAGATTCAGTTCTCCTCCTCCTTTCATTCAGACTCCTTTTATGTCGGCTTTAATCAGCTCCTGCTCACACCTTAGCGCAGCAATTAGGCAGCGCAATTAATGCACTCCGCCTCCCCAGACAACCACTTCAGTGCAGTGCACATGGATTGTCACAAGGGAAAAACAAAAACCAAAACAACCCAACATGCAGGAAAAATTCAAAAGTCTAAATAAAGGAAAACACAATCATATAAACAAACATCAAAACATGCAAAGCTCAAGAAAATACAAAGAAAAACAAATCATATCTTCCCCTCCAAACATGCAAAGCAAAAAAAAATAACATTTAAATGAAAGAAAAACATAAATCATATTTTTCCCTGTGCAACATCTCTCTCTCTCTCTCTCTCTCTCTCTCTCTCTCTCTCTCTCTCTCTATCTATATATATATATATATATATATATATATATATATATATATATATATATATATATATATATATATATATATATATATATATATGTATATATATAGTAAAGAGAATTGGGCCTAGCCCTGATCCCTGTGGTACTCCACAGGTAACCATTAACGTGAAAAAACTGAATTCGATCAGATAGATATGATTTAAACCAGTCTAGTGCTGTTCCTTTAATTACAACAAAATATTCAAGTCTTTCTAAAAGAATATTATGGTCAACTGTATCAAATGCAGCACCGAGATCCAACAGGACGAGCACAGATACAAGTCCATTATCTGAGGCCCTGAGAATATCATTAGATATAGATAGATAAGAAAGGAAGTTTGGATTTAGGTCTATAATTGACCAAGTCATCTGGTTCAAGAGACAGTTTCTTAAGCAAAGGTTTAATTAC